CAAATGGTGTTTTCCATTTAATCACAGAGGAGGGAAGCCTATTGATAATGTAACATGCAGTGAGTACACACTCACCCTAAAATTTAATAGGAACATTAGAATGAAAACGAAGGGCTCGAGCAACCTCTAAGATGTGTCTATGTTTTCTTTCAGCAACACCATTCTGTTGAGGAGTACCCACACAAGAACTTTGATGAACAATGCCAAGGGAAGAAAAAAAAGGGGAACATTCTGAATTAAAAAATTCAGAGCCATTGTCACTCCTAATTACTTTAGCAGAGGTAGAGAATTGAGTTTTAGCTAAGGAAATGAAATGTTTTAAAGAGGAAAGAGCATCATTTTTGTGCTTCAACAGATATATCCAAGTCATCCTAGTGTGATCATCAACAATGGTAAGAAAAAACCTATGACCACTGTGTGTAGAAACTCTATATGCACCCCATAAGTCATTGTGAATAAGCTGAAACTGGATAGCAGACCTAGAGTTACTTATAGGAAAAGGTAATCGATCTATTTTGTTTAGTTAAAGGGCAAATAGAACATTTATGCATCAAATCATGTTGAAATTTAACAGAATGCAAACAATCTATTTTATTCATTGTAGACAAAGCAGCATGCCCTAATCTAACATGCCAAATACAAGTATTAGGTTGTGTTTTCCATGCGGTATAATTTGGTTTTCTAGAACAGTATTAGGTTGTGTGTAATATCAGTTCATGTTGGCTAAACCCCCCTATATTGCTTCAACCCCGTGTATACTCTTCTTTAAATCGAACCCCATTTTTTTCTCGATCAGAAGAGAAGAAAAAGTGTTGTGTTTTGTTCAAGAGAACCAAAAATGAAGAACGGTAACAGCAATACTAAGCTGATTCTCCTCCATCCTTATATCCAAAAACAAGGGAGATCAAACAGATTATGGCTCCTTGCTTTTGTTTCCTTCTTCACCGTTGCTTTCCTTTTAATGGTCATATACGCCACAGAGTCAATCACTAGTAAAACGGCCGCCGCAGCACAACCGTGGCAGGCCCTGCTAGCGTCTCTTCTTGGGGCTCTGTCATCGGTGGTCAGCCGTTGCCGACCACCGTCATCAACACGCTCCTCCATTATGCTTCGAAGAACAACGAAAGTTACCACATGGCATACTCCGAGTTGAAGCCCATCTCCGATGTGCTGCGCAAATGTTCTTCCCCTTGCAACTTCCTCGTTTTCGGCCTAACGCAGGAAACCCTTCTCTGGAAGGCATTGAACCACAACGGACGCACCGTTTTCATTGACGAAAACCGGTACTACGCCGCCTATTACGAGGAGTTGCATCCCGAAATCGACGCCTTCAACGTACAATACATGACGAAGATAAGCGAGACCGGGGAGCTAATCGTGTTGGCTAAGGAACAGATTCGGAACGAATGTAGACCGGTCCAGAACCTGTTGTTCTCGGAGTGCAAGCTGGGGATCAATGACTTTCCGAACCATGTTTAAAAAGTGGATTGGGATGTGATATTGATAGACGGACCGAGAGGCAACGGACCGGACACCTCCGGAAGGATGCAACCGATGTTCACATCCGGGGTGCTGGCGAGGAGCAAGAAAGGTGGCAACCCGAAGACTCATATCTTCGTCCATGATTATTACAGGGATGTGGAGAAGATGTGTTGGGATGAGTTTTTGTGCAAGGAGAACATGGTGGAATACACTGATACCCTTGCTCATTTCGTGGTGGAAAGAATGGAGGAAAACATCTTCGAATACTGTCGTAAAAAGAACAATAATACATTAACCACAGATTCATGATCTTCCTAGTTAAACCAGTTATCGAAGTTCTTAAAAGAACATACACATTATACGGTCAAAAAAATCGTACGGAAGGGGAGAAAATAGCTTAATATTTATGATGATTTGATTTGATATTTGTGTTAGAGGGATCGACCCTTTTTGTTGAGGGGTGGGAGTGTGTAAACAATAACCTTTCACGTGCAATGAGAAATGTGAATTCATTGAATTAGAAATGAAACTTCTTTTCTCCCCTTCGTTTATTTCTGTGGGTTAAAGTGATGGGGGTTTCTGTTTAAGGTTTACCCATTACTTGAATTTCCGATAAGTTTTATCTACTAAATTTATACAATGCTTCAAAGCGAAACGAAAGAGGACTCCAATAGATTGTTTTTCTGTTCAACGCCTTTGCTCAAAGGGGAAAAAGGCTTGGTATTAATACAAAACATGGAATGGTTCACATGATTGAGAACGAAGATACTGCCATAGTTGTACTTCGTCATTCTTCTTTCCTTTTGTTTTAGTAGGGAAGGGGTCAAATAATGTCACATGATTTATAGTAATTTTTTTAATGAAAAGAGAAGCAAAAGCTTAAAACTAACTAGAGGTCTCTCTATGCAAGTCCGATTGTCTTCATAGAAAGTTGGTCCAACCTCTGAAGGGATGGTTCATGAAATATATGCAATCTAAATGGTCTATTCCACGCTAGTTTTGCCATGTAATCCACCACCCGGTTGAGTTCTCGTGGTACGGAAGTAATCTGAATCTCCCAGTCACGATCAAGTAGTTCTATAATATGGTTCTCCATTGGAGATCCCACACCCATACTTGAATCAGGCTTAAGAACCAAGATAACCTCTCACAGTCTGTTTGTTTCAACAATAAGTTGGCGTAAACACAAATCCCAAGCCAACTGCAATCCTTCGAAGATGTCCCATAATTCGGCCTCCAAAGATGAGCAACATCCAATGGTTTTAGTGAATCCTGAGAGCCATACCCCGTCATGGTCTCGGATGACTCCACCGCATGCTGCCAACCTCAGATTAGTACGACAAGGTCCATCAACGTTTTGCTTGAACCAGTCATTGGACGGAGATGACCACGAACCAGAACGGTCGACTGGTATGGCCTGGTTTTTTACGACCGCCTGGTGGGATGATATAGCAGTATTAGCTTCCTCCTGTACTAGTAAGCTCACCGCCAGAACGCTTTCCATCGACCGATAATCAGGTTAAAAAATTAAACGATTCCTGCGCTTCTATAAGCACCACAACATCGGGCCAAAACGGATATCCCAATCACTTGGTAAAATCGGGAGGTAATTCGGTTGGCTGATATTCTTAGCAATCCACTCGCGAAAGTCCATATTCTCAAACTCCACAGCTAGTTCCAATTTGATCGGACTAGTCCAACTAGTCCTAGCTATCGAACTAGTCCAACTAGTCCTAGCTATCGAGCAATTATGAAAAATGTGAGTGAGTTTCAATAGAAGTTCCACAGATTCCGCAGCTGGCATCGTTTGTCATGTGTCTCCGAGCTTTTTCTTCATTCGACAGGATTCTCCCTCGACAAAGTAGCCAAAGAAATGTTTTGATCCTCGGCAAACCCCGGAATTTGGATATCATCTTCCATATTAGTTCCCCCGTTCTTCGACTATATGCAGACTTGGCTGTAAACCGACGTAGTTTGCCCCATTTCCATCTGAATGAATCAGGCACACCATTATGCATCGGTGGTCGAACAGCAGCTATGAACAAAAGAATTGAAGAAGAGAAGCTCGCAAGACTGCCCAATTCCAGTCACCTGTGTGAGAGCCATATCCCTAACCATCATATCGTCCTGCATGGATTCATCCGTATAACACCATAAATATTTTAATATAATATGAAATATGAACTCAGTTAGATTGTTGATTTTTTTCGAAAGAAATTATTAAAATGTTCATGTAATAACTCATATATACTTAAATACTTAATTATTAGATTAGATCATTTTTTTTTCAAAAGTTGTGTAACATTTTATGAGGTAGACGTGACTACTAAACAAACTATCATGTTAGCACTATTAAATTTTTAATTTTAATAACTTGTCATTGAAAAATTAGTAATTAGACTAAATGTTAACCATTGATAGATAAAATGGTAAAAATTTAAAATAAAAAGAATAAAAGAATAAATATTAATAGTTAAATTTATCATTAAATATATTTTTAATAGTATTATTTATATTGAAAAAAATAAAGAACATTAAATCTTTATTCAACTTCTTAGAAAGACTAGAGTTGAAAGCATTTTGAAAAGTAAGGATAATTGAAATTGATGTGGTAATGGTGGAATCCACATGTGAGGGATAATTTAATAATAATGAAGGAGAAAGGGGACCATTTTCACTTTCGGAGGCTGACAACGAGGGAAGGCAAAGCAAGAGAAAAACCATATTAATAAACACCGAATGAAAATGCAGGGTCCTACCTACTAATTTATCAATTTCTCCACCCACCCATTTTGACTTTGCCAATTTACTTAAAATCCATCGCCATTTAATTTTCTTCTTCGTTATTTCAAATTTGAGAAATGTCAGTCAGTGTCAATGACTCTGTTAAGATGAAACGTACAAATAATTTTAATTTTTAATAAGAAATTATCATTTTCATAATTTTATTCATTTTATTTAAATTATTAAATAAGATGCTTGTCCAATGTGGTTTGACTTATACTCGATCGTGCATTCCATGTTATAATTTCGTAGTATCACTTGTACCCAGATTTTATCTCTCTTTGTTTTGTACTTGTATTACAAATCAATAAATGAATCATTTGGTAAAAAATATAAAATTAATGTAACAACACGTAAGAAGTGTGTAAAATTTATAACCAACACCAACCTGTGCTTTAAGTAGCTCTCCCAACCGGCAATTGCCAACCTTTCTCTCTTACAGTGAACCGTCTCTAACCCCACATGATTTGTCCAAACCTTTCCAATTGTTTGACTCAATCTCTCTCTTACTTTAATATTTTGCATTTAATATATAAATTTTGCTTCACCGATGTTAGAGGAAGAAAGATCAAAGCCGAATACTAATAATCCAAAAAAAAATCAATTTAATCCACATAATTGAAGAGCAATAAGAATAGAGAGAGGTTGACATATGTTTCAGTGTTTCACAAGGGGATGAACCAACCCCATTGGAAAATCTCGAGATTGATACCAATGTCGATTTATTTCGAAAAATGATTTCTGGGATTTTTCTGGACGAAGGGCCAGTGTTGTTTCGATCTTAACTGGACTCCAGGATGAGATTGGTGGTTTCTGCAACAGCTAGGGAATGGTTATGGTCGCCTTCGTAGGTAACTATTAGCATCGATGGATCATCTAAGGCTCTTTCCACATGTTTGCGAGCTGGACATCCTCTTACACTGCTGCACTTATAGTAAGCCCTGTTCCAATCATATATCCAAAACCAGACACACAAAACATGTTACAAAACTTAAATCTTAAACTATGTTTTATTTTGCTTCAAAAAAGATTTTGCTTAATGAAATTACCTAGGATGCGGAGACCCCTTGATTGGTTTTTGACCGTATTTCCTCCATGAGTAATCATCTGGTGGAATATCAGCCAATTTCAAGCTTATTGCTGGAACCCTTACAACCCTCTTTGATCTCATCTTTCTGTCAAAACCCAGATTTTCAGTACACACAAACTTAAGTAAGAAATTCAAGGAAGATAAAAAAAACATGTGTATGTATATGTGTATGTGTATGTGTATGTATGTACCTTTTCTTAGAGCAATGGCAACGACCAGAAGAGCCACTGCACTTGCCCGAACCCATGTTCTCAGAGCTACACTTCCTCTTCAAAGAAGAACACAAAAGAGGCTTCCCAGCTGAGGAAACCTGAGAAAGATTGGTGATTTGAAACGCGGATGATGAAGATGGTTGTTTACTATCAGTATATCCCATCAAGGACGACATGAAGGAATTCCCAGCAGAAGAGTATGAAAAATCGATGGTCGTTGATGAATCTTTCCTCTCTAAACCCCCACTTTTCACCGTTAAAAAATCATGATCACGATGCGGAGGATGATGAGGTGGGGGAATCTGCTGTAACGGCGTTGCGTTATAAACCGCCTTGGTTTCTGGCTCTGGATTTGCCGGTGCTCTTCTGAAACGGGCGTGTCCGGTCCTGATTCGACCCAGAAGCGATATAACTCTCTTGAACTTGGAAACGGCAACGTCTGCAACAGCTTTGCAGTCCATTGATAAATCGCTGCCATTGTTTTGTTGTTGAGTTTGGGAAAGTAAACTGATGAGTTTCTCAACACTTTCGAGCCCTGAAGCTGCTTCTTGGACTGCGTTTTCTTCCATTTTCGCTGTTAAACTGTTTCTGTTTCTATAACTCATCATTAACTCCACCTCCATGTCTGCCACATAAACATGCAAAGGCAAAAGGAAATACAAACAAGAAAAGGGTGAAAGCTGAAAAAGAAGACGATCAGAAAAGGGTTGTTGATAAAAAGGTCGAGGGTGGTGGACTTTGGTCAAAATAATAGCGTCGGCTATTGGCCATATAGGTGACTCATCTGTCGTCTTAACATTTGCCGTCAAATGTAGGTTCCAGCAAGGTCCAACCATCCCAAGCAAATCAACAACTTTATTATTTTTTCCAACTAAAAAAAATACTTTATTATTTTTCTAATAAAAAATAATTTAAGTTTGACGACTTTTCCCCGGAATTTATTATGTTTACCAATCGATATTTAGGTTATCTATATTTATAATCTACAATATATGCAGAAGTATAAGTCGATTTTTTTTTTTTGAAATTTGAAAATAATCTTTTGGAAAAAAAAATTAGTTTATTTAAGATGTCGGCAACACTGCCATTGACTTGTGCCTCGATATGATTATTGGGGTCCATATTGGTCTAATAGAGGTTGGGACTTGGATGATCAGTCAAAACTATCCTAAGCCCATAAAAAGAGTTGAAAGAAACTCATTTACATTTATATATTTGGAAATTAAAGAGAAACTTGGTTAGTGTGCTACCATCTTCATTTTTCTTTGGATTAAAATTAAGAATAAAATAATATAGATGACATTGTATTGAGATATCAAAATATCTGGTGCGAAAGGAAGTTTCTTGGTAAATGAAAATCACTTCAACGTTGTTTTATAAGGCGGAAAAGAAACAAAGAGTGCAATTTCCATGAACCACGACTCGCTCAGTATCCCTAAAGTCAAAAGACGGAAACCGCATGGAACCGAGCAACACAGGAGGCGCGTGCTCCCCTGACTGGACTGCTTCAGTGGGAGAAAACACTCGAAAATTTTAATATTTAATACACATATAATGTAAGATTCAGGTGCACAATAAAAAATTATAAAGTTATTGTTATTTCTTACGATCGAGGATTTCAACATCACAGTTTTACACTTCTTTTATACTTTTATGTTTAAAACTAATTCTCATTTATATTATAAAAAACTACTTAAAAACTTGGATAATAATTCATGTGATAATTAATCTTTATATTATCATTTATGTATTAAATGTGACATAATTAAACTTTTCATTATAATCAAAAGGTTTGGTATGGGCGAAACATCTAAATGTGGAATATAAGAACATATAGTAGATTTTTAATTACGATGGTAAGTAATGATTAATGAGAAATTATTACACCAGCATAAACAAAATAATTAACAAAAGAACAAACTTGTAAAAGAAAGGAAATTATTTTAATGTATCAAATAGTAAGCTTCTTTGTTTAAACTCAGCAAATTTATGAGGAGTAAGCAAGCATTAACATCATTCCATGTGCAATTCTTAAATTATTTCAGCTTTTTAATCATGTCTAAATTCGAGTATTAAGCTTTGTTGTCCCCCTCCCAGCCTCCCTAAATCATATGCTTATGTCTTAAAAGAAAAGAAAGAAGAAATTAAAGCAGCAAAACTTAAAAATTAATTTAACTAATCATAAAATTCTCCCATTAATCAAGCTTGAGTCCACACCTTCCTCACCAAATCAAAACCAATCCCTCGTATAATTCTACAGACTACTTCCCGCAGGAGCTTCGGGAGAGGGCCGACAATGAAGCTTTCGGCGTTGCACCAGAGCTATCTCAGCCGCCGGAGCAACAGCTTCAGGTATTCAGGACTGTTAGATTCGTCATCCGACACCGGCTATAAATCGCCCGCAGCTGTTTTTTGGCTTCTCCTCCACGGTCTCTGTTGTTTAATCAGCTTAGTTCTCGGATTCCGTTTTTCTCGTTTGGTCTTCTTCTTCTTCTTCTCCACTTCTTCATCCAACCTCTACACGCCGCCGTTTCGTTCAGCTGTCGAGCTTACCAAAACCCTCGATGTTAACTCCGTTCTGTCCTCCACCCCCTTCGCCAACAACCTCCGGGTACCGTTTCCGAACAAGACAGCGACGAATTCACGAGTTGTTGTAGGGCGGCACGGGATCCGGATCCGTCCTTGGCCTCATCCGGACCCGGTTGAGGTTATGAAGGCGCATCAGATCTTAGAGAGAGTTCAAAAGGAACAGAGGTTACAATTCGGTGTGAAGGATCCGAGGGTAATTATTGTGGTCACTCCGACGTATGTGCGGACTTTCCAAGCGCTGCATTTGACCGGTGTGATGCACTCACTAATGGTGGTTCCGTACGATCTGATTTGGATCGTGGTGGAAGCTGGCGGTGTCATTAATGAAGCGGCGTCGCTTATTGCAAAATCTGGTTTGAAAACTATCCACGTCGGATTAAATCAACGGATGCCGAATTCCTGGGACGAACGACATCAATTGGAGTCCAAAATGCGCCTTCACGCTTTAAGGTAATCGTGTACTAAATTTCCATTTAATTTAAAAGTGATGGCATGGCAAGTATGCGTTTCGGAATTAGGTTGTTATAATTGATGGTTGACTCCAATTTTGTGTTACTTGGATGGCAGAATTGTAAGAGAGAAGAAACTAGATGGAATTGTTATGTTTGCGGATGATAGTAATATGCATAGTATGGAACTTTTTGATGAGATCCAAAATGTGAAATGGTTTGGGGCAGTTTCCGTTGGAATACTTGCTACTTCAGGTAATATTGATGAGTCGTCAGATCGGAAGGAGGAAGGGGAGAATCCTAGAATGCCGATTCAAGGTCCAGCGTGTAATGCATCTAATATGTTGGCAGGATGGCATACTTGTAATACATTGCCCTTTGCTGGGAAAAGTGCTGTTAGTATTGACGGCAGATTGACTGTGCTGCCCCGGAAGTTGGAGTGGTCAGGGTTTGTTTTGAATTCTAGGTTACTTTGGAAAAGTGGAGAAGATAAGCCAGAATGGATTAAGGATATCGATATGTTGGATGGGGATGTTGAGAGTCCATTGGGTTTGATTCGAGACCCTTCGATGGTGGAGCCACTTGGAAGCTGTGGTCGTCAAGTTTTGCTCTGGTGGCTTCGAGTTGAGGCTCGTACTGATAGCAAATTTCCTCCCAGGTGAATTTCTCTTTTGATTCTCATTTTATTTGGTATTGTGCTGTCTATTGCCTAATGATTAAAATGAAGGTCAATGACAATATAAGCTTTTCTATAATTACTAAATTTAATAAGTATAGCTGTGCCAAATATGTAATCTTTTTTCACATGATTGAGGTTTGATGAATATGAACTCTACAAGGTTAGATAATTAAATTAATGTCAGGTTGATCATACGGCATGAAACTTATGTTATTACATAAGATATGGATTGGGTTTGCATTCGTTTGTCAATGCATTTGACAGATATGATGTGTCAATGACATCGGAAAACATCAAATTAAGCACCCTTCACATGTTCTAGTGAAATCTTCAGTCATATGGTGCATCATCATCAAGAATCATATAATTTCATCAATGTTTAGGTACAAAAATAAATGCTGAGGAGTCAGTTGTAAGCATTATGCTTTATGCTCCTTTCAACCATGGGGTTTGAACACGAGTAAGTAATTGTTGAGTGGTCATGGACTCATGGTGGTTGCTCTTGTAGATTATTTGGTCGAATATTCTCTCTTGGACATATCCAACTTGTGGACTGATATGTTAGCAGTCTCTGCATTTGTTAAGTTGTTTACTGAATGGTGTCAACTGTCAATTAATAACATTCAACTTAGGATGTTAGATGTAACTTTTTGACCTTTCTGATATGATGAAGTATGCGTTTTTGGGAATTCATTGTGATTGCTAATATATCTGTATCCTTATAGACGTTTAAGTATTTCCTTTCTGTTTGTTCCATAAATTTGTGTGTGTATCATATAATGCACCACATGTTTCCATGGTGCTCCATGCAGCATTCTAAACATCTCATGGACTATAGTTGTTTTTTATGTATGTATTGGTTTGCATCCTATAGTTGGGCAACCCATCAATTACTAGCTTGTACATCATGCAGATGATTCATTGACCCTCCTTTGGACATCACCATCCCATCAAACGCACTCCATGGCCAGATGCTCCCCCTGAACTCCCTGCTAAAGAAAAGCCAGAGACGGGCATTCAAGCTCCCATAGTGAAGCATACTACCAAAACCCGAACATCCAGATCAAAACATCGAAGCAAAAGGAAGCATGAAACAAGAACAGACACACAGGGTTCGACAAGGCATTCTGAACAAAACTAAAGTCATAGCTGGCAATCCATGCATTAAGAGATTCAGAACATCTGCGAGAAGAAACTTGGTTGACAAGGGAGGAATGCTCAGGTGTTGGGTATGTATGAATAGCCATCCGTTGCAGCAGGCCAGTTTATACATTCATTTGTGTTTTGAGTTCCTCTTCCTCCTCCCAAGTTTCAACTTCTATCTTTCCATCTATAGCTTGTTGGGGTGATCGATAATCTGTTTCGTCTAGGAATGTCAGCTAGGTCTTGCTCTCTTGTCCTGCAAGATGCTGATATCTGGCATGCTTTTCATTTACAAATTTATACATATTCTTTCAATAGAAATCATAGAATTTTCTTCAGTTGGTTTAAGGTTTTAGATACAACACCGAGTAGAATAAAAATTTTCTTTAATTTCCGAACACCTCATTCTCTGTCTTGAATCTCTATAGATTAGGAATGAAGCCAAAAAATGGGCAAAACGAAATGAATTGTCTTTTGGTGAGGCAGCGGTTGCAACCTAAGACAAATTACAGGTTTCTTGAAAGTTGAGTTATTATTGTTAAACGTGACAGTTAATATGAAACAGGGTAGGCAGAGTGGTTCAAAGGGTTCCCTTGGCTTTTATTTTATTGATCATTATCTAACTTTTGGCTGAAATTTTAGCATCAAATGGACCCATCACCTATCTTACAACCTTTGATCGAAAGAAACATAAAAATTGTGAAGATTTCACATTGGATTATTTATTAAGTAATTAAACTAGCGTGAAATTAAAGAGAAAATATTATAAGAAACTGCAATGTGATGTGATTTGAAGCCCAACGTAATTGTTCCATGCAAATTTGTACAGAGAACGCAGCGTTGTATTATTGGCTATTGCTTCATCTTCCACCAATAGAAAGCGATGGCAGAGGTATTAATAGTTGACTTTTTTTTATTATGCAGAGAGTTATTATATCTCTAAGGTAAAACATCTTTGATCACTCAACTAATTAATGAAATTCGATACTACGGGTCGACTTTAACATTGAACATTAACGAGAAGGCCGCAACTTCTTTTTGTGAGGAAAAATAGAAAGCTCAAACCCATAACCTGTTTTGTTATTGAAGAAAACAAATGAAAATTGTCGAAGCCCATAACTTGGTAGTGTTGTAGATTGGTGATTGGATAAAATATGGGCTTTGCCATGAACCTTACGAAAACCTTTCTCGTATGTAAATTGTAAAGCCAATGGGAAATCTTTTATTACCTTATAATAAAAAGTGGCACAAGTAACTGACAGTTCCTCCATCAGTCATTTCTCAACAAAGAGCCTTCTTAAGTTACAAACTAAATCATTGGTGTCACTTGCCTTATAATATAGTGGAATTATCAGTTTAGTACATGTTATTTATTTTATCCATTTGGTACATGTATGTCTAGGCTAACGCTTTAAAAAAGGCGGTCGCCCATCAGCCAGTGAGTATTGCCATTGAAGCCGGTGGCAGAGCTTTCCAACTCTATGAATCGGTAAACCACCTATGCGTCTCATACAAAATTGTCACTTCACAATTCTTTACAGGAATTGGTGTGTTTTACAATTTGTCATTGTTTGAACATATTTTTCAGGGAGTTTTCAATGGTGATTGCGGGTCGGCTTTAGACCACGGAGTCGTCGTTGTCGGATATGGCACCGACGAAAATGGTCAAGATTATTGGATTGAGAGGAACTCATGGGGCAGCAAGTGGGGTGAAAATTGATATATAAAGATGGAGCGTAATGTTAATGCTAATACCAGCAAGTGTGGCATTGCAATGGAGGCTTCCTATCCAGTCAAGAATGAGGCAAATATCATCAAAACTTACGATATCGAAAGCACCGAGAAGATCAATAGTGTTTGAATTCTTTGCTGCAATTGAAGACCAGAAAGACCTAGCAAGTAATGATATGCTCGGACTTTATCGTTTCTGTACATACATATATTTATGTATCAAGCACAACAGATGGAAAACTGGTATTGTTGTGACATGGTTCAAGCAATTTCAATTCAAACTTTATTTGCCGAGTAACCTCTAGCAATTTGGATTAAAAAAAATTAGCTAACCCTATTCCCATATGTAATGGGGTAAGGGGGAGATAGGATAGTAGGCTGTCTCCAACAGCAGGTTGAGAGCAGCTTCCGTAAAAGACCTTCAATAGTCAGAATTATGAATTGCCTATCATGTGACTCGATCCCACGACCACAAAATTAAGAGCCTTGTGCTCTACCAACTGAGTTGGACAGGCAATTCAACTTGGACATATACACAAATTCAACTTCAAAACTAAATATGATATATACCAACTGGACTTGCTTGATCAGTTCTATCTTCTGCAAAATACATTTGAGAAGGTACCGAACAGGCGACAAAGAATGTCGAATCCCCGTTTCATTACAAAGCATTCTTTGGCAATACTTTTGGTTTCTCTAAGCAAAAGCTTCTGTAAAGCTAATCCAGTAAAAAGCTGGAGGAAATGAACAAATATGTGATGTACGATTGATGGTGTTTTTCATAATACCTGTTGAATTTAATCCATAGGAAGGTTGGTGCTTCTTTTGAAGACGCCTTCTTGCCATCGTATCGCTAACAAAAGAAACAAAGAACGACATGTATTTAGCATCATTGAGCGCTCACTCAAATAACACCGATAAGAAACACGACACCAAGTATCCCGGAAAACGGATAGGAGGGGAATACATGTTTGCCGAAGGAGAAAGGAACGTATTTCTATTTGATCATGTGTAATATCTGTCTCTTCATGGTTAGGATGAATAAGGTAAACCAGTAGAAAAGGAGTATGGCCAAAAGACAGGCACAACAAACACACTGAAGAATGTCATCGCAAAGCAATGCTAAATGCCATCATAATAGAGTATCTTCACAAAGAAAAGGGTGCATGTAAGCATTCAGCACCAAATTTTATAGAATTGCATGATCTCTTCATTAATCAGCATTGATATGATAATAATTAAAAGAACTTCAGCATTAAACATTTCCTTGCAACTTTCTAATGATTCCATTCGATTCACCTGAGGCCCTGCACTGAGTACACGCGTACACCGTAAAGCACCATCAAAGCCAGGCATCCGATCCAACAGCTCACAATGTGGGGGACTGTCTTGTCCAGGGTGTGCCGGTACCGCCGCAATATCCCGAAGGCCCACCGTGATACGGTGGATGCATCGTTACCTCCCAGGGCACCACCATTTGGTCTGGTCTCCATCAGAGGGCCCCACAAAGCAAACAAAGGACCAATTTTCTTTTACTGATAAAAAAGGGCTCTTCCTTCCCTGTGAAGCTTTTCTAACATTGTCCTCGTCCCTATATAATTAACTCTACAAAGCCTTTCCAAGCCTCTGATCGTCGTCTCCACATTGTTTTTTTGTTGGGTCAACATCGTCCACTGGTTTAAAATTTAGAGGAGAGGAATGACTAAACTGGGAAAACTCTAATAAAATAATATTTTAAAGTTTAAAAATTAATTTAAAATTGAAGGCAGTTAGATTTAATTCTACAATTGAAATACAAAAATAATGAAGTATTATCCGTTTTTAAAGGCAAAAGGCATGGTGTTCCCAACTCAAACAAACCTGAACACAACACTTGCAATGTAAAGTGAGACTATAAAAAACAATACTCCATGACGATGAGTTGAACCTATTTCTTTCTTTTAGGACCCTTCTTCATTTCATCAACCTTCTTTACAAGGTTAGATATCATCTTCTCCTGCAGCACAATTTTAGCATCTTTCTCCTTCACTTCTTGCTTCAATCGTTCGATCTCTTTTAAGTGTTCATCGAGCTTATTGGTACTTTCCCTCATCTCCTCCACCATTTTTCCATCTGTCTCCACTTTTTTGGATTCGGTTGATTCCTTTGCTCTTTCATCTGACGGAATTTCGGTATCAGAATTGGCATGTGTTGTTTCCTCATCTGTCTTCAACTTTTTAGATTTGACCAATTTCTCCTCGCCATCCAATGCTCTTTTGTTCGACGAAAATTCACGATGAGAATGGTCTTGTGCCATTTTTCGGATGTATATTCTAGCAGTTTTTCCATTACCAAACTGAAAGTTAACTAGTTTCTGAGGCAGTCCAGATGAATCCTGACATAAGACATAAAAAAGGACCCAAAGTTAGTACTTCATTAAAGATACGAAAGGGTGTTCCCATTGATGGCATCAACATTCATAAAATGCTCGTCACAACGAAGAACATCATAATGTTGCAGAATGAACATTTGATGATTGATATATCATGAAGAAATTTGAAGCCCCGTGAATGAAAAACCAGGGTGGGTCAAAAAATATGCACCTTCTCTTCATCTCCTTCCATATTTTCATATGCTTTGCTTGCTTCTGGAGGACTATCAAAGACAGCAAATGCAGAGTAATGCCGACCTTGAGGAGTTTTAGATGGCTGCCAACAAATAATTCACCATATTAGACACTTGGCAATGATAGGTGAAGATGAAAAAAAGCCATGTCATTGACCAATGCTACACTAGTCTCAAGATCCATGTCATTGACTATTAAAGACAACAGATTCCGTAATGAAAGGGTTATTTGAGATATAAGAATTTAGCTCAACTTTCAAGCGCCACGGAAGTGTAGTTTATCAGAGTATTCAAGAATATCTCAAGAGAAAGCATCTCTTCACAAGTCTCAATCTTTTAAACATAAGATATGAAACAAACCAGGGTAAAGAAAAGCTAAGCCAATGACCTCTAAAGAGAAGAAAAAAAACATATAATCAACCTTTGGTTCAATTGCAACAGCTCCAGGAATGACTTTAGAAATTTCTTCTCTACGAACATTAACTGGTATTCTGTGGAGTAGTAGCTTCTCCCTTTCCGGTTCAGGTGCCTGGTTTTCCAAAAAAAGAACTAGATATGCATAGATGATAATGATAAACAATTGAAAATAAAGATAATCAGAGGTCAAACTCCATACATCTAGAACCAGGGTGATTTCGCCACGCTCTAACTTAGCAAGAACCAGTTTCATTGCAGCACATGCATCATCTAGACAATTATGAGCAGCACCTGGCTTTCGAACTTCATATCCCAATACAGACTGTAAAAACAATGCATAGAAAGTTAAAACCAAAAACAAGCATCTAAAACTACCAGTAAGTTTCGCCTTCCATAGCACCATGCAAAGTCTTTACTAAGAACAAAGCAGTCTTATTTGTGGTTTCCCAGACTTGGTAAGAGTTGCTATGGCTATGCTCAATGCATTCTAAGTTTATCCATATATTTTGGAGGGTTATACCTCCATACCCATATCCAAATTAGTGTCAGATACAGGTACTTCAGGGAAAATGAAAAGGGAGGGTAACATAGTTTGTAGTCAAATAGTTGGAAATATTAAGAATTTTGTTGAAGAGCCATTCATGGAACATTCTAAACATCCTACATATTCTTGATTTGAGTTTCCAAAAAGGAAAAACAAAGTAGTATTTAATCTAATAGATGTGAAACATGCAGAAAACACTTGCAGCATTTCAGGTTCCTTCCAACAAAATTGTGCTTTTAATAGGTTATGTGTTGCGGTTCTTAAGGTGCTGTGTTTTGTTTGTATTTCTGAAGGGTGTTCTGGTTTAAGTGCTATGTAATCAGTGTTATGTTTTAAGTGTTATGTTGTAAGTGGTTAGTGGTTAGGGACTGGATGTGTATTATTTTTCAGATTAATAAAATTCAGAGGCACTCTTTTCCTCGTTCCTATGTCCTTCATGTTACTAATGTAACATGTAGGATATGAAGGGGGTTTTTAATGAGGCCTAATCTTCTAGAAAAAAAATTGTGCTTTTAATTATTATTATTATTTTAAGGAAAAAGAAACTACTAATACGTACCTTGCATAAGTTATTCAAAGATGGTTTTCTATAGATAGGTACATCCAAAATTTTGAAGATATATGAGGTGTCGATCACTCTTGCATGGTTTATCTTTAACACTGTATACAAAAAAACAGTAACACTTAAAGGATGAGAAAGGAAATCATAACTAAGACCTGATAGGCAGTTGGTTCTACCATAAGATGAAATCAAACTTTTAGCCATTACGCCAACATACCTTGCAAATCATTGTGCAAACTATGTCCCACTAAAATAGTTCCACCAGATAACAGTTTCATCATGGATTTCTGTGAAATGTTACATATCTCAGATAAACAAATATTGAAGGAGGTCCAAGAAACAAAAAGATTAGCCATTCCATACCTGTATGTCGGCTACTGAACACGTAACACCATTCAAGTCTCCTGCTGTAACTCCAGTTATCTCTGACCGATAATCAGCCACTGCTTTGGTTGGTTTTACATGTTCATCGATTTTGACCTGAAAAAATAGACCAAACACCGAAAAAAATCATTTTAGATGACAAAAGATGAATAAATGATAAATTCCAATTAAGTGCCTTTAGCTGAAGTGGCTTGAGAGTACAATAGCCAAATTAGAAACATGGAAGAGGAAAGTAAATAACAAGTTTTACATTCTTCTGTATAATGGAAACTAGTTTACATTAAGATGCTGCAGTATCAAAGGTCCTCTTTTTTATAATTCTACAAAGAAAATATGCTTGATACCTGTAAATCATGATCTACAACACAAACTCTCACCAATGCTTCAGTGCCATCTTCACAGAGAACCATTTCACAATCAACAGCAATCATTGCATTCGACTTCATCGCCCGAGATCTTTTAGGGGGCTTGGTAACAATCCATCCCTGAGTTTATAACTGATCAGGAATCTGAAGGATAGATAGAAGCATAAACAAGGTGAAAGCAGAAACCAAAAAAAAAGTTAACAGCAACAAACCTCATCAACTGTCGGGAATGCATAATCAAGCGGATATTGAGGGTGTTCCAGAGTTAAACGAACAAGACTCTGCACTGCCACACAATCAATTAGACCAATCACAAAATAGTACTACAGGGCTACTCAAGATATGAATTTCCTCGGAAAAATGCCATTATACCTGCTCAGGGGATTCATTGTCCCAAGATTGTTTTCTAAATTGTTCCACTATGTTCCTATTTGAAAGACTTTGAAACACTATAGAGAAAAGCTGCAAACAAGCAAGTGATAGAGAAAAAAACATAACATTAGCATCCTCAAACCCGGATACCAAACAAAATAGAGTAATTGAAAACAATAACCAAACATGAATTTACTTTCAAATCATCCTCTTTGGTAAATGTCTTAAGAAACGATACTAAGACATCATTGGTCCGCCTCGAAGGATCACTCAAAGAAGCACCAAATTTTTTGTCGTAACTTCTCAAAAAATCCTTCCATCCTCCTTGTGTGCCTTCCAGTCCACGCTTTTGAACTAACTTCACGATTTCAACAAGAACCTGTTCATAAAAACTGAGCTCAAGTAAAAATGTAACGTTATACTTTCAAAAGTAAGTACTTCGATTAATCCACTTCGCCAAACCAAAGGAATTACAAAACCCAATTTAGCAAACAGAACGAAACAAACTGCAATGCTTGCTGCAATAACTAATAGAAAATAACAAATTTAAGTCGACACGTTCTACCTTCTTCTCAGCCTTTTCGAGTTTCTCGTCCATCAGGAATCCGACGAAAAAGAGGAGAGACTGAAGGAGGTGGAAAGGATTTCAAATAACGGAAGGGCAGTAGTGTCGCGGGCCGCTATTTCGAAGTATCGGCGCCGTCCACCACGGATAAAGACCTCAATAGTTGTGTGAAAACAGCGGCAATAACGGTCCGCTAAACCTATAGCTTTAAAAAGAATTAAGTTTCTTCACAAACTAAACAGATAGAGTATGAGATGAGACGGAGAAACAGGTGGGATTGAAAAAAAAACATCAAATGCAGCAGAGTGATAGAGAAGCAGAGGCCTCAAACTCTCACGACTCAATGAAAAGCATCCAAACTAGGTTTAGGGTTCCAAAAATTACCCAATGAAGGTTGGCGGCGGGATGACTGACGAGGGATGGGAGTAGGCGGATCAACCGGGTCTGTTGAAAAGTAAATAGCTAAACTTAAATGGTTAAATATCAAATATGGTCCTAAAATTCGTTTTATATCTAATAATAGTCTTGTTGTGATCATTGAAATTGAATACAAAGGTTTTCCAAGTTGATGTACTTTTTTCTACATTTGGATTTAGTCCTCTTACTCCATCCTTTCAGCTTTAAATATTCAAGCCCAGTTCATAACATTACTTAATGATACGGCATATTAAAATGAAAAAAATTCTAATTTAGAAGTCACGTGAGGAAAAATAAATTGGAAATTTAATGATAAAATTCATGTTACCTTCTTCTTGAGCTCAATTGGGCCGATGAAGAGATTGGGTAATTAATGTGGCACATTATATATTGAGCGGATCCTAGGCTTTCTGGTGGCCCATAGGATTTGGATCAATAAACGTTTCCAGATGAAAGAAAGCTATTGCTATTGTTTATGGCTCTAAATCACGTAAAAACAAAACATCATTTTGTTAATAATTAAGATTTTAGACAATATTTGGGGCAAATTCTACGTGTTTAATGATGATGGTTGTGCAAATATGTTGATGAAAAAACCTATATATGACATGATTACATCCATCGATCCCAAACCAATTCATTGCCTCTTTGGCATGCAACCATGCTTCATTATTTTCATCCTTAACAAAACGCATGTCGATCGTCGACATTGGATTTGAAAAATCAAGTCAATTTTATGTGGAAACTGATCAGATGAGTGACAGCAACCATGACTGCCAACACGTAGACTAGGAACAATGGCAAGATTAGCCGTTATATATGAGTTGTAAAACCGTGGGGTCGAGTTTAGCTCAAGAAATGAATTTGAGTTCGTTGATTCCTCATTTAAACCATTTATTGTTGTATTTGGACACGCCTGTTTGCTGTTTCATATTAAGTAGCTTCAATTTTCGTTACTTAAACGTGTTGAAAATTTAGGATATTCTTCGGACAAAGAGAGGGAAAACACACAAGCTGGTCCTTAGTTCTCGAGAATTCAAGACTTGGGGGGAACACAAGCAATGTAATGTGATTCAAAGTTGGATTTTTGCTGAACAGCACTGCTCTTTTGGACCCACTTTGGGTCATTTTTAAAGTTAAATTCTATTATATATTTAAGTTATTAATTTAATTTATGCATTTTAACTTAATTGTTTTTAATATTTTAATTTTGATTTTTGAATTTTTTGTTATAACTTAAATGGTAATTAATAAATTGTCAAATCAGATTTTATTATTAGTTATGGTACTATGTGTATGTTATATATTTAATGATTGTTCTTCAATTGGTCATTTTAATTTATATAATTTACTCATATTATCGTTACACAATTTGATTTTTTTTTTAAATTTTAAAATTAAAAAAATATATATATAAATTAAAGTATGTGAATTGCCTAGCACGCCATTTGATTTTCCCCCCGAGTCTCACTTAGTAGGCTTATTTATCTCAACCTATACATAATGATTAATGAGCCTATAAATATGATTAAGCCGGGAATTACTTATAATTTTATATTCGAGTTTAACAAGTTTAAGATGGTCAATATCAACTAAATTTGTCATTAATTTTTGTAGTATGTGTAAATTTTAGATTTAATTTAATTAATTTTAATTTTCATATTTTTGAAATTTTAAGTTATCATTTTATAAAAAAAATTAATATGTTTATTGAGGATATCGTGAGTTTATACAAAAGAAAAAATAAATTATACGTATATCGATATAATATCAAAAATATCTAACGTTTTATTATATAGTCTTTTATTCTTATTTTTAGACTATTCTGATTCCTAATATTTTATTTTAAGGTAAGAAAGTCCTTAATATTTGATTAAATAATTATTTTAATCCTTATTTATTTTTAAACATTTTGATCCCAAATATTTTATTTATGACAAAAAGATCCATATATTGGAGCATTAACCATATGTTGTCAAACGATTTTCATCCATAGAGCTATTTTACTCCCAAATAAAATATTCAGGCTAAAATATTAAAAAAACTAAAATAATAATTATTTTTTTTATTAATTTAGGATAAGTACAAAGTAATATCTATTCAAGGAATAAAAATTAAAATAATTATTTAGTTAAATATAAGGGATAATTTTATTATTATGTCGTATATATAATTTATTATATATGTGCACGAACTAAGTGATCTCCGTGATAAATTAATTGTCCTGGGTTTGAGCATCGAAAATATCAGGGTGTGAACGTTCCATGTGAAGAGGTTAAGAGTTATGTTTAAACATGTACTACTTTGAACTACCTGTATTAATAAAAAAAATTATTGTATGTGTCCATAATGTAACAGAATCGTATCCGGTATCAAAAGATACAAAAAAAAAGAGCACACATAATGGAAAGAGTAAAAAGAATGTTGATAAAATATGTAAAAGAAAGAAATGGATTCCACAGTCCAAACTGCAAACACATTGGAAACGATGGGAAACTATAGATTTACTACAACTATTCTCTTTAAGCTGAAAAGGATACCGTTATTAATATATATAATAAACACCATGTTTGCATGCAAATCTCAAACATTAATCGCACGTAAAATAAATGTATTAACGTTAATTAGGATTGTAGGACAAAGGACAATAACCAACCTTATTTCGTCGTTGATATAAATCATTAAATTACAGGCCAGATTTGAGGAAAATTTCAAAATGAAATGATACTTTCATACATTTGTATTTAAGAAGATTAAATACCCTCTTAAAATGCATTGGTAGCAACATAAATTCTTCTTTAAGAGCCTAAATTCAAAAAAGAAACCCTAAATAATGTATGGGAATAGTATTCTACTAGCTCTCCCGTATTTCTTTATAAAAATTTAATTCTAGCTGTTGGTTAAGTATTTATACCAAGAATCCACCATTTTCCCACCTACAATAAGACGTCACTGAAGTAAAAAAACCAACAATTTCAATTTCTAAAAGTTAAATTTCAATTTGAGGTAAAAATATTTTTGGTCTAAAAAATGTACTTTTATCATATTTAACTCTAAAAATACTTTTAAAAAATAATAAAATGAACTAATTCAAAGTAACCCTCTCGTCCCCCCTCAGTCAAATATTTAAGCTTACTTTTTCAAAGTAGTAAAAAAATTCAAACCTCCATTCTCAACCCCAAACAAGACAAATCCCGGTTTTATTTTAAACAGTCAAACGCGTTACAACCCTCTTAAATTTAAAACCCCCAATCTACTTGGCGCGTTGGTCTCACATTCATTAAAGTCCAGGCCCCTTGAAATCAAGTCGCTGTTAAAAGAATGTGTAAGCCACGTAAACCGATGTGAAAGTGGTTTTGGAACAAAGTTATAGAAAAGGCAAAATCATTATGATACGCTTATATAGGAACAAGTAAGGATTCTTTTCGAGCGTTGATGGTTAGTTGGGTATTGTTCGATTTGTGTTTATTAATAATTTTTATTGTTTGACTTTATATGTTACTCGTTAAGTTCGTTAAAATTGTGTTCAATTCTTGTTCGTTAAAAAAATTTTGATGTCAATTCGACTCGTTGTTCGTTAATCTCGACTCATTATTCGTTAAGTTCACTAAAAAATTTAGCTAAAAATAAATTTATTAATACTATACGAGGATATTAAGGTTGGTTTTTATTAAAATAATATTTTTAATTAATAATATTTTATTGCTTATTAAAAAAATAATAGGTTAGTTAACTTATTATTTTTAATATTTATTAATAAATTAAAAATTATTATTTAGATTTATTTTTTGAATGAAATAATTTTGAAGTAATTACTAAAAATACATTTTAAAAAATTAACGAGATGCTCGTAAATTTATCGAGTCGAGTTAGATTTTGTTCGACTCAGCTCTTTAAGGTCTCGAGTCGAGTTCAAGTTCGAGTCGAGCTTTTATCGAATTTTGATCGAGTTGAGTTCGAGCTGCTCAACTCGTTAAGCACCCCTAGGAACAAGGTATGAGAAATTTATCGGCCAAAATCATATACATATCAGTATCATAAATTTCCATCTTTCTTTTTTACATTTTCAAAAGATTTAACTATGCATAGATACTTTTTTAGACTTTTTTACCAAAAAAATCACTCTATAAATAAAATATTACCTCTCAGTCACCATTTTCCAAATATAACACGATCTAACACCTGAGAGAATGAGGCGTGTTTGGTGAAACGTGCTTTAGGAGGATCGAAAGGTAAGACGTTGTTGGTGAGAAGCGTTTTAGCTGAAAATCGCCTGACACAATGATACCCTGTAAGGCATATCCCTTGGGGCACGCCTTATTAGGGTTTTTGACAACCCTGTAAGGTTCATCCCTTGGGATGAACCTTCACTTTCCTGCCTCGAACTCCTGTTAAATTCTCCCACCTATTTCCCCCAACCGGCTATTATATAAACCCCTTCTGCAACTAAAATAAATCACACCTAAGTATATCTCCTTTCTATCTATTTTCAGTTTAATAAGATATAATTATTTTTATAATTTATTTTTTATTTATTAAAAATATTTATTATTAAAGTAATTAGTTATTTTAATATTATTTTATTTTAGTATTTATTTTTATTCATTATTTAATTATTTAATTGTAAACTTATTTAGTTAGTTAATATTTATTTATTGCAGTTAAAAAGTGGAAGGTGCGTTGTTGCAATTGGATGTTGATCATATTTCAAGTCATTTTGTTGATACGGTAAGAATACAAAACTTTATTCTTTTTAAATTTATGAATATTATGAAATCAATTATATATTATTAAAATTATTAAAATTTATTTATTTGAATTTATTTAAATAATTTTCAAATAGTAGTTCAAAATTTAATGGTTAGAATTTATTTGTTAGGAAAATGATCGTATATTAGAATTTTTTATTCGCAACAAGAAGATTGAAACATCGAGTGTATCTGGCCATATTTATCTATGGCTGGATTTGGTTACTTAGCAAAAACTGAATAAGGTTGTAAACTTGAACCCGTCCTGATTTTTTCATTAATTAAGAGATGGAGGCCAGAGACACACACGTTATATCTATTATGTAGGGAGTGTACCATTACGTTAGAGGATGTTTCAATGCAACTAGGGCTTTCGGTTGATCAAACTGCCATTTGTGGTGTGGCAGATGATGATTGGGGGGTTTTATGCAGGGAGTATCTTGGAAGCTGCCCGCCTAGTTTCAACGGTAGCTGAATAACATTAGGGTGACTAAAAAGTTAATTTAAAGAGTTGTGCGAAAATTGTTCAGAGGAAGAGCAAAAGCATTTGCCCGGGCATAGATACTACAACTCATTGGAGGTATATTAATGCCTGAAAAATCTCGGAACCATGTCCATTGTATGTGATTGAGTCACCTGATCAATTTTTAAGTACTCGACACATTGAGTTGAGGGTTTACAGTGTTGACATTTTTGTTTAAAGAAATGTGTAAGGCTACGCATTATAAGAAGATTATTATTGGCATTTGTCTCATGCTTCTCCAATTGTGAACATGGTACCGCATGCCTTTTTTATGCCCAATCGTGAATGAGCCATATGTATTTCCATTACTTTCAAGGTATCGATAGTAAATTTATTTTTAAATAATGTTTTCGATTATTATAGAATGACATACATATATATATATATACACTTTAAATTGATGGTCAAGTAGTAGGAAAAATCATCATGATATCCCACAAGAATTACAAGATATCTGATTACTCATTGATCGGAAAGATGGTGTAGAGGTAAGTTTTTTAATTTTAATTTTTTTATTTAATTGTATTTATATAATTTGAATCTCATTTTAATTTTGATAAGAAATCTATATTTTTGTTTTAGTTCAAATAGTTGTCATATTTGGACGACGAATTGAGGGTTTGCATCTCACCTAACTTGAGTGGGATATTTGATGTATGGTGGCGGTTATGCCCCTTATTTGTTATGCTATTATTGAATGACATTCAATTGATCGCGTGCTTCGTCAATATGTATAACATCAATAGACACGACAAGAAAGAGGTAAATTGATTGGTGAAGCATAGAGAGTGGTTGGCGATGTGAGAGAACCGATATCAACACTTGCCTCATCGATAGTATATAACACAAACTGATTTGATATTTTTAGATGGATATATTAAATGGTTCAACGTAAATGGGAAGTCATTCTTACTTTCAGTGGAAGCAAGAGGGGTGACAATTCATCGTCGCCGACAAAAACGTCCGACGTCACAACATCATTATCACCCATTACTAGACGAAGAGCATGTGCTTCCAGGTCATCCTTAGCTATGTCACCAAGACCATCACACCAATAACCAACGATACTGGTTTATATCCCCAGCCCTCCAATTCACATAGGGACACCACTTAACTTTTAGACGCCACCGCAACCAGTTCAGATGTCACATCCGCAAGTCCATATGCCATATATGTCGGTTCATATGCCACCCCCATTTGGTTACACATAGAGCCCGTAGGGTTTTATGAGACCCACTGGTATATATTTTTTGACTATGTTTACGGATCCAGTATTTAGTTCCTACGCGAATTATGTTGCGGGTGGTCCTCCACCACAAACACCTCAACCGCAGTATACGTCACAGAAACCGATGTCTGGTTTTCACAATTTTCACAGTTCTTAGCAAGTGGTGAGATCGTTCTTCATACACCTCCAGAATCCTTATTCTACAGAGGTCATATATTGATATTCATCCCTTATCGAGACAATATTGTTGAGAGTGATGATGATGATGAGAACGACGATGAGGATGATAAGGATGAAGACGAGGACGATAATAATGAAAAGGAGGAGGATGAAGATGACGAGGAGGAGGAGCAATATATAAAAAGAAGCCCTCCTAGAACTAGACAACCACCACCTTGTGAAACACATTCCAGGAGACATCGATGAATCTGACAACCATTGCTATATTTTTATTTATTGTGTGTTTATTATGTATTTGCCTCTTATTTTGTTTTTTATTATGTATTTATATGAAGTAAGATTTTTCCTCTTAATTGGTTTTTGCCTCTTATTTTGTTTTATTATTCTGTATTTACATAAAATAAGTTTTTGTATGATGTTTAATGTCTTTTTGCAAACAAAGACAAACAAGACACAATAATTTGGGTAGCTTTATTTTATAGGATCACTTCATAGGGCCTATATATATATGTATGAGGTGAAAGCTAATTTTAATCTATTCAGGCAAAAACTTTAGTTGTTTAACTAAGATGGCTTCTGTTCAGGAAAATGTTTTTATTGCAAATATTTAAGCATGCCTTTCAACAACAAAAATTCACTTGAGGAGTTGAAGTTTAAAATATAAAGAAAGGTTAAACTTAGGAGGAAAAGAAGAATCTCTTTGTTGTATTGTAGATTGTCGGTATCATTTAAGAGGTTTCTTCTAAGCGATGATGTCGACCTTTGTAGTATGATTGAAACATAATACTCTCGTTATGGATCTCATGTGGATTTGTTTGTAGAGTTTGAGGATGTTGATGATGATGCTTTGAGTTCGACTACCTAACAAATTAAGCAGAATGAGTTCGGGAACACAAAGATAGATGATGATCACTCAGAAGCATGGTGCAAACACAATTGGGCATTGTAACATCATTAAGAAAAGTCTGTTTTAGGTGTATGTGTATGATTTTATTTACTGTTTAAAGTATGTGAAAGATGTATAGTATTTCTGGTTCGTTGGTTTGGTATGCTTCATGTCATGTTTAATAGTTTGTTGTTTAATGTAATGTAATGTAATGTTTATGGTTTATTGTTTTTATAGTTCACATCTATAACAAATCTCATATTGAATTTAATTATTCCTACTAAGAAAACATCCATTACAATATTGCTTTCATGATTTCAGAAACAATAAAAGTAGCCTTTAAATGTATCATCACATGAGCAATATGTTTGTGAAATATTTTCAATGTATGAAACTGAATTTTTTTACAATAGTTGAGATAATCATGCTTCTGCAGTGGAAAAACTCTTTTTCATTCATCTTTATATGCATTGGGTTTAGGCTTGACAATACTTAGTATCATTCTTGCAATATTTCTTTTATATGAAACAATAATATGCCTAAAATGTAAGTTGCTTCAATGACACCTATGGTAGAGGCTTGCTTCAAGATATGACAACAAACTTCAACATTGACACAATACTTAGAAAAACACTCAACTATATCTTCCATAAACAATGTATCTAGATTTCTGGAAACATAACCCTTTCGTACGAGTAGCCATTCAGAACGATCCAAAGGTTTCAAGGCATACCAATGAAGTCAAACATTTGCAAATATGAATATGTAATTTGATGCCAAGCAAAAGTCGTAGCAAGTTAAACGAAGTTGAAGAAAGTCCTCAATAGAATTAGAAGCAGCGCAACGTAAAATCTTAGCTAATATATCATTTGGTAGATAAGATAATAAATATTTATCTGCCATTGAAAATAATGGAAAAGTCTATAAAAATGATAGATAACATAATCAGAAAGATACACGAAAGACAAAGTATTGAGGACCACTTGCTTCATCTCTCATATATATAGTGTCTGACGAAAAAGAAAGACGCTTTTCAATGGAAGCATTTTCCCCATTTTCATAGAATCTCTGTGATGTCATAGTGTTTTCTATTATTATTCAGAGAATCTCTTATATCATAATGTTCATCACATCTAAAATGAAATGTGCATTCCAGGGGAAGCGTTTTTAATTATTATTCAGAGAATCTCTGCCATGTCATAGTGTTCCATCCCATTTGAAATAAAATACGCATTCTAGGGTAAGTGTTTTACATTATTGTTCAGAAAATATCTATCATGTCATAATGTTCAATCCCATCTGAAATGAAAGACGCGTTTCAAGGGAAGTGTTTTCTATTATTATTCAGAGAATCTATGACATGTCATAATGTTCAATCCCATTCGAAATGAAGGCACGTTCCAAGGAAACATTTTTCATTCAGAGAATCTATGTCATGCCATAGTGTTCCATCCCATCCAAAATGAAAGGCACGTTCCAGGGGAAATAGTTTCCATTATTATTTAGAAAATCTCTTCCATTTCATATAATTGATATGAATTGTTCCCCGACCCTCAATATCTTAAACTCTTCAATTCAAAAACTTCGTATCTTTAAAATCTCAAACTTTTAAACGTTCAAACTTTAAAACTCTCAAACTAAGAAAATGACTCTTATTTCAGTGTTGTTTACTATGATGGAGAAATTGGGGAAGATGAATACTGGGTTATTTTCTGATCAAATCATTATATCCTTCTATCCTTCAGGAGAAAATCACTCTTCATGTTGAAAATAGTAGAAGTTTGGCTACACTTCAGTATAGATTTTCGACTGAAATTTTTTGTTAACATATACATCGTTCAATCTTAAAACGACGACGATGTTACTATGATGGTTGATGTTTCCAGTCAAAATTCAAACTCTATTACAGAAATATATGCCACTTTTGTTAACGTGCATCCAACTCGGGGTATCTCCTTATCCTCCCACCATGGTTTGCCTGAACTGGTTGATCAAGTTGACAGTTCAACTCAAACAATATGTCATGATTTCACGTCACCAATGACTAAGCTACCTCCTGTTAACATTCCATTAAGTTCCGGGGAAGACATTTATCTGTCACTTTTTTCGACCTCAATATAGAGATATTTTTCAGTTCCAGGGGGAGACATTCATCTACCAGTACATTCGACCTCAATATGGAAATTCCTTCTACATAATACTCAATTCATAACCCATATGGTGACATCCCTTCAAGTTCCAGAGGAAGTTACTCATCTGTGAACTTATTCGAACTAAACATCAGAGTCATAGAAGAACCATAATCTTCTCTGGAAGAACCTCTTCGTGAGCCAGGAGCAGATGGCGCTAAAAATGAATTATTCCTTGAACCCAAGTCACCACAATTCAGCATGGACTCCGATGATGGTGCGGATGAAGTTCCTATAAATATGATACAATATGAACCTCCAACACACATGTATAAAGTTGACTATGATGCGATGTATGGGCTAGAATTTCCTGATATGTCTCATCTTGGAGACTATGGGAGGTATTCATCAGTTAATAATGGTGATTTATATCGTGGAATGAAGTTCACATCTAAAGAAGAAACAATGATGGCAGTTAAGAGTTATAATATTCGTAATTTAATTAAGACTATAGTCGACCGATCTACCATAAAAAAGTATGTATGTTATTATGTCCAACGTGATAACGACTACAATTGGATGTTTCATGTTTTAAAGAGGAAGAAGACCGGTAGATGTGAACTAACAAAATACAGCGGTCCTCATACATGTTGTGTACAGGGGATCAACCAAGACCATCCAAACTTGGACTCCAACATGATTTTCCAAGCCATCATGCCCTTGGTTTGAGAAAGCTCCCACATACCTATTGCAGTACTGATTTCTGCAATACAATCTCAATATGGGTATACATTCTCCTACAAAAAAGCATAGAAGGAAAAACAGAATGCCATTATAAAACTATACGGTGAATGAGATTAATCTTACAACAAACTACTCAGTTGGTTTAACCTGGTTCAACGACTGAATCTTGGGATAGTAGTTGAGTTTGAAACTCACCATGCCTACCATAATGATTGAGTTCTTCGAGATCGATGCCAATACCACCGCATTTTTTGGACTTACCCACAATATATTAATACAATGAAATATTATAAATCCACTGTCCAAATTGATGGTATATTCTTGTATGAAAAATACAAGCAAGTTCTATTATTGGCAGTTGTCCAAGATGGTAATCGCCACATTCTTCCTATTGCCTTTGCCCTTGTTGAATGAGAATATATAGAGTATTGGGCTTTTTTCCTGAGAAATCAACGGTTACATGTGATCACGTGGGAACATATTTGTATCATTTCTGACCGAGGAGCTGGGATCAAAACTGCAATGAACTCTTTGGGTCTAATGTGAAAACCTCCACACGTCCAACATTGTTTCTGTATCCGAAATATTGATGCAAACTATCATGACAGATATAAGAAGAATGATAAACGATAATTAATTATACACATGGGTATGCTACCTTTTCTCTAATTTTATTTTTCACTTATTTTCATTTTTATACTAACTACTTCATTTCTCTTATGTTACGAACTCTCACCTCAAACGTTTGAGGTTATTCTTCAAGAATTACAAGGAAAAAATGAACATGTATACAATTACATCAGTGAAATTAACAAAGAAAAGTAGACAAACGCATACGATGATGGATATCGATATGGACATATGACAACCAACTTGGCTAAGATAATTAATTCAACCTTAAAAGGGGTTCGTCATTTACCAGTAACTACTTTGACTAAAATGATGTATTTTTATTTGGGTTAACTTTTTGCCAAGTTTGGGGGACAAGCTCTTATTTGGATACATAATGGTCATATTTATCACCCACGATTAGTAGCAGACTTGCATCAAAAGGTTACAACATCAAACAATATATCTGTAATAAGCTTTTCTCGCACCCAAGAATTATTTCGGGTCACAAAAATGCCACGACCTCTGCAAGGGATTGAATCTAACTCTTTTAGAGTTAATCTACGAGATAGATGTTGTGACTATGGGTTTTTTTTAAACTTTGAAGTATCCATACTCCCATGTTATAACAGCTTACTCATTTTCTCGTCAAGACTATAAGCGTTACGTGGATCCCGTATACCAACTTTCACAAGTATTCAAGACATATGAATATGAGTTTCCCCCATAGGTAATGACAAATACCCAAATGAGGTTCAAACTTGACTTCCAATTATACCAGATCCGGACTTATTAAAGGAACCATGTTGTCCAAAATCCACTCAAATTCATTGTGATATAGATATTCGAGGGACGTCAAGACAAAACTTAAGATGTGAACATTGCAGAAACCCCGACCATAATAGGAGAAACTATCCATCTCTTTCATCATCACGTAATCGTTGACCACTACTCATATAATCATATTTTCTAATGTTTCAACTTATGTTATTTCATTTTCTTTTACTTTCAATTAATGTGATTTCAGCTTGTTTATTTTACAAGATGACCCTTTCGTATATCTATATATTTTTTATAATTAAATGTTTAACTTTTATTTCTTACAATTTAGCATACAATTAACTTTAACCCTAAACCCTACTTTAAAATCACAAACATTGTAATATACGATCAATTTTAACTACAAACTTCTTTAAAAGCCCTAAACCATACAAATATAACACCCTAAGCTACTAAAAAACCCTAAAACCAATGACAAAATCTTAAAATCATTTTAACATAAAATCCTAAACCTAAAATCACCAAGCATGGGAGGTGCCTCTACGACGCGCCATTCAAGGGGGGTATGTTCCCTAAGATGCATCATTCATAAAACCCATGGAACGTGGGTTTCATGCGACACGCCTTCCTTCCTCCGGCTAAGACGCGTCTCCTATCGTGCGTCTCTTTCTCTCTTAAGAAAAGGTGTTATATCTAAAAATAGTTAAGGAAAAGTGTTTGATGGATAATATTTTTCTAATAAGATATTTTTTAGTAAAAAAAAAAACTTTTTTTTAAAGAATTTGTTCTCATAAATAATAATATTTTTAAAATATTTGTTTATGGAAAAACTCGCGGAACGGAATGTGTGCAAGAGCTGTCCTAATTCTTTTTTTTTACTCGGCGCCAAATGTGCAACAAGCTTTCCCCACAAAAAAACTCTAAATTTAATAGCAATATGACTTTATATATTTAATATAAAATTATTGTATGATACTTATCTATACAAATTAGACTGAATAGTTTAGAATCAATTCAAACTTAAATAAATGGAGCTTGTGTATAATATCCCTCCCTCAAGAACATGCATTGGTTAAGGTATGAAGGTGAAATAAGAACAGGCAAATACTAGTAAAAGTCAATTGTTTTCAGTCTAATTTCCAATCCATCAACAGAAACCCACGAGAGCTGGTTTAAAAGAAAGAAAAATACATGCATTTTCATGGCTTTGATTTGATTCGAAGGGAAACATCTCTTTGCTTGAATTTGAAGTTAAACTGAAGTTATTGTTATTTTCTCATTGTAAAGGATATGCAAATTTGATTTTCTGTTGGTTTCTTTCGCTTTTTTATGTTTGAAAACGGCCCCTGCCTGCTTAATTATGTGCTTCAAACAAAATTGTTCAACAATGGAACAGGATTGACTCTGACTGCTTACTGATAAAGTTGACAACTGAATACAGAAGCAGATAATAGTATAGTAATAAAAAAAAGACCAAGATTTGAAGAAAGAACCCTTTTTTATTTATAATTGATTTCTGCATTTGAATTTTGACAGTAGTTTTACTGTACTAAAGATCCAGATTCTATGGAAATAATAAAGGAAATAAAGAAAAAGGGTAAAAAAGGATCAAAACGTGAATAAAAAAACCTTATACTTCACCTCTCTCACTCTATTTTTCCCTACTTTCTCTTTCTTTTGTCTTTTTTTAATCTCTCTTCCTCTTCGTCTTCCTCTCCCTGTGTTTACTTACTAATGAAGAAGTGAAAAATGAGGTTGAGATTCCTTGTGTTTTTCATGTAATTGTTATTATAATGAAAGGAGAATTCATTTGCTGCTTCTTTGAAAAGCCATGGCTCTGCAAGCTGAAGAGACACAGCAACAACAGATTAAAAGCCCACCATTGATTCTCGATGGGCTGTTATGTGAAGAAGAAGATTTAGGGGACTATAGTTTTGAAACTGAAACTGTGAAAAAGAAGGCGTTTGTTGTACCGTTTTTCCTGAACGAACATGATTTGTTATGGGAAGATGATGAGTTAATCTCTTTAATGTCTAAAGAGAAACAAGCCCATGTTGGTAACATTGACGTTTGTTCAGAAGTGTCTTTTGTTTCAGCTCGTAAACGAGCCTTGGATTGGATTTTCAAGGTCAAGGCACGCCACGGGTTCAATTCCTTGACCATGCTTCTCGCTGTTAATTACTTTGATAGGTTTGTTTTAAGCTTCAAGTTCCAAAAAGACAAGCCATGGATGGGACAATTAGCTGCTGTGGCTTGTTTGTCTTTGGCTGCCAAGGTTGAGGAAACACAAGTCCCGCTTCTTTTAGACCTCCAAGTATGTGTCTAATGCCAACGAAATTACTGTCCCAATTTATGTTTCTGAAGTTCTTATTCAGTAATTAAAGTTGGAGTTTTTCTTCTTTTTTTATTCTTTAGGTGGAAGAAGCACAGTATGTGTTTGATTCAAAGACCGTTCAAGGAATGGAGCTTTTGGTGTTATCAACTCTGCAATGGAGGATGAACCCTGTGACGCCAATTTCCTTTTTTGATCATATTACAAGGAGGCTTGGATTAAAGACTAATTTGCATTGGGAGTTACTTTATAGGTGTGAGCGTTTGCTTCTCTTCCTCATAACTGGTGAGAATAGTCAAGAACAGCTTTTGTGTTTTCATTGCTAATCAAAAAGCTTTTTTTGGTTTCTTGAGTTCTTAGTTTTCGAATTTGATTTCGATCCAGATTCAAGGTTCATGCTTTATGCTCCTTCTATCTTAGCTGCTGCAACAATGCTGCATGTTATTAAAGAGGTTGAGCCATGCCATCACCTTGAATATAAGAAACAGCTAATTGGAGTGCTCAAGACATGTGAGGTTTGTACATAATTATTTGTAGCCCTCTCGATTCTAGCCATGTAGGAACTCGATTTTTCCATCAATTGTGGTTTTTGTTTCTACAGGATAAAGTAAATGCCTGCAATGAGCTCATTTCGGAGTCACTGGAAAGCCAGTACAAAAGAAACCAAGGCCACAAAAGGAAGCATAAATCAATACCAAGCAGCCCTAATGGTGTCATTGATGCGTCTTTTAGCTGTGATAGTTCAGATGATTCGTGGGTCGTGACATCTTCGGTCTCGTCATCACTACAGCAGCTGTTTAAACGAAGTAGAGCTCAGGACCAGCAAATGCGTCTGCCTTCACTAAATCGTATGTTTGTGGATTCTCTTAGTAGACGTAGTTAAATCATCCCTTAGGTCATAATAATTAGTACTGCTGAACATGTTATTAAAAATTCCTCTTGCGAATTCGTCGTAAGTGTTCTTTAATGTGCAATTGAGATGTGTTCCTTAATTTATTCGTTGCCTTTTATGGCCAAGTTTCTAACATGGTTAGAGATGTATTCGTATCTTCTAAATTCCACTTTGATTCATCTTTGGATGTCAGTAGGGAGTTTGGCAAATTGACACCATGGCCTCGTTATGCTATGGTTTCTGATTCTTCGAATGTATGGCTCCTAAATAACATATATCCAGGGCAGCCTCTTTATCTGCATACATCTATATTATTTTTAGTCTTTTATCTCAGAATTCATGTGAAAATAGAACTAAGATCAAGTTAAAACTGTCTTGTTACTTTTGCACTTTCAGGACTTGGGATAAAAAAAATCAGGGTCAAACAGAGAAGCAAAATTCACTAGAGAAGAACCAAATTCCCACTAGCAGGCAGTGTTTTCCACCATCAACCATAACTATGATATTACGAAAAGTTATGCACTGCCAAGCATTTAACCTTTTAAGTCCATCACCATCTTTGCACTTACTGGTTTTTTATGTCATTTTATTGGCAAAAACAATAGCTGTCATCTAGCCTTATTACCTACCATGCCTCTTTTTTTTCTCTGTTTGCATGTCTTTGGCACTTTTCATTTGAAATAACTTTCTTATTTTGTCATTTTGAAGCTTGTGGTCGTATATTCTTGGATTTACTGATATATATTGCTGAAGAAACAGCTGGCCTACAATTGTATGTAAAATTTCAAGGTTTAGACATTATATTGGCAATGAACTGATAAAATCATGCACGAGAGCCCTTTGTGATAAGCAAATTGGTCTTGCATAGTACAGGGAGTTTTAGAACAATCTGTTTTCTGGTTTCATTTTTGACTTGATGAACATTAGCATCAATCATCAGAAAGTGTCACGCGGGGGGAACTTGTGTTTCGAATGCGAGAGTACGAAAACGAGAAAAGGTTTTTTGTAGTGCAGCTTGGTAATTCAAGCAAACTTGAAAAGCTTATGGATGAAGACAGTGGAGATTTGGAGAAATGGGCGGGCAAAATCAATAGATGTGCAACGCTTTTTTGTTTTGTTTTTGAGTATGTCCTTTGTGTCTTGTGGCCCTTTATTTGCCTTTCCCCCCTTTACTTTCAAGTAGATTGTTTCACTGCAACAATGCACATAATAGAAAGAAAATACAGAAGAAGAAGAAATGAAATTCAATTTGTTTATCCTCTATAGTAACTCTTTTGTCTTTGCTTGGTCTGATAATAATGGAATGGAGGGAACAAAGCAAAATGAAAAAGGGAGGGAAAACTGGATCCCTCCACATGCCAAAGAAGGAAAAACAATATATGCCTACTAAACACGAAAATAATGCGTTACGAATCATATTTCATGTTTATCATTCCGACCCATTTTGTAATGCGTTACACGATTGACACGAGAAAAATACACAAACACGATGTGTAATCATGAATTTAAGGATTTACAGAGTGTCGTGCTTTTTCAATATATCATTCCCCATGTTTTTAGAGTACAAACTGCAAGGCCTCATCAAGTACAACAAGGAACGCCTCACCTATGCTCAAAAACAAGAACCTTTGTCCACAAACGTTTGAGATTTCATTTTCACATGCTTCAAACTTGGCAGAAAGCAGGATTAATAGTGTTTGATTTTATGATATTGGTGTAAACAAGCAGAGCTTATTGCTGCTTTTTATAAATGTGGCACTGAATTCTCTTAATGGGAAACAGACAAAATGTACAACTAAGGGCACAATTTCAAACGCAGCAAACATGTCTTGTTTAGTTTGGTGGGAATTTATGAGTTATTTGCAGTAGCTTCAATTATTTGGTCTTTTAGGCTCTGATCAATCTTGTTTGAACATGAACTTGGGAATTTCACTGTAACTGATCTTTGCATATTCACTTAGATAAGCATTGTAGAAGAAAAGAATACGTGCATAATGGCTCTTGATGAACGATACTTTATAGACTTCTCCCACTGCGTATATATAGTTCCTTATGATGTATAATGCATTTATACAATACATTCCAAGGATCATGCATGTATATCATACATTTGAAAGACTCTTCGAATACATTGAAAAAAATTAAGCATATTATTGAAAAAAATTGAGAATGCATAACGTCAGACACGTACCTATATCCAACGACCATCAACCCAAGTAACATAACCAGATATATTGATATATAAAAGATCAAAACCTTCCCAAAGTCCTTAGTCAGATGTGGGACATGTAGCCTGTATGTACATATTCAATGGTGTTGGCGAGGTGAAAGCAAGCCAGTTGTATCAACGGAAGATCATCCTGCAAAAAACAAAGACCAAAAACGAACAGACAACTCTAATGTTCATTATCTCTCCTTTAGGACCGACATTCACCTTCACAGCCCTTGTAAGGATTAGCCATCAAAAGTTGAAACTAGAAAGATCCTTGTTAAATGTTTGTTTGACAATTAAGCTCACATTGTACTTTACCTATACAAATCATAGTCTCCAAAAAGTAAAAAAGAAAAATGAAAATTGTAATGAGATTCTGAAGTCTTGTTAATGGATTATCATCGTTCCATTAGTTCCGAGATAGTGCATCTTTGGCGGATTCCAGGGTTATCGCCACGGCAGCCGCTGCAGAAGTGAGGACACTGCCACTGGTCTTTGGGTCGCTCGGTGAATGCTGGTGACTTAACTGCTCATTTTTCAGCTCTTGGCCTTGCCCTGCCGATGAATTATATGAATCCACATTTCTTTCAACTTGTACATTTAAGGTGTCACCCTCCTATTCAAGGCAAAGTTTTTATTTTTAAATCTCAATTCAAGAAATCAACAATTATTGAGAAGTGAGAATCTGAAAAGGAAAGGGAAAAGAAAAGAAAAGAAAAGAGCACCTTCTTGGGTCCCTTGTCCATATTGAATGCAATAGTTCTTAATTAAAGATTTTGCATTTTGATTTTAACAAGTGGGAGAGAATATATATTAGATGTTATTAATGGTAACTAGGTCCCCTTATTTACTGGTTTTATCGACACATGGTTGATGAATGTTTGGTCTCCAACACCATTTTCTAGACAAAGAAATAGGCCTTAACATCACGTGTACACAAACACATGTCACTCACTTTTATGCAATTTTGAACTCAATCCAAGCTTTGAAACAAAAGTTTAGAAAGAAAAAAAATAGAATGAAAATCTACAAGTCAATCATTAGATACATTTGTGATCACAAGGGCACTCCAAATTTTCATCAGTATCCATAGTGGTTTGAGGAAGGTGGGATTTTGTCAAGAATTTGTAAGGCTTCTTTCATGGTGGGTCTCTTTTGTGGTATGGGAGATGCACAATTGTACCCCAACTTGAAACAAGCCAACAATGCATCCTCTTTGCCTTCTAACTCCCCACGAATTGCCGCATCCGCCATCCTCAATGCCTTGTTTTGGTCCTCGACGATAACCCCGTTCCCCTTCCCCAACTCATCCACAACTACAACTTTCCCCGTTAGAAGCTCAAGCAAAATCACCCCGAATGCATACACATCCCACTTCGGGTTGGGCTTGATGCTCCGAAGTGACTCCGGGGCAAGGTAAGGCGATACACCGAACGAGCTCGGGCTCGGACTTGGACTAGGTCCAAGTAGTTCTTGGAAGCTATCCCTCGATGCCGTCGACCTCTTGCTACCAAAATTTCGAACCGACATCCCGATTTTAGAGCTCGTATCGCCTGTTACAAGCCTTTCGAGACCGAAATCTCCAATCTTGGGCTCCATGTTAGAGTCTAAGAGGATATTGTTGGGCTTCAAATTGGCGTGCACATGTTTCTTCTCATGGAGATACGCTAGCCCGCGGGCCATTCCTTTAGCAATCTTTAGCCGTGTCTCCCATGGAAGATGACAAGGCGAAGAACCAACTTTTCCTGCACAAAAAGAAATGAACAACCCCCCCCCCCCAAAACAATTGTAAACGCATGAATTAATAAACTGAGATAAAGAAGACGGGCCTTTTTCACAAGTAAACGTCAATCGTTGTTTGACTTTTCCATGCACTAAACGACAACGTTTTAGTTACACCTACTAAACACAAAGTTGTGGAGAAAATGAGAAGGTTAAGGGGGAAAAGAACTCACTGATATAACGAGCGCTGGCCAGACTGCCGTTTGGTACAAAATCGTAAATAATGAGCTTTTCATCGACTCCCCAATAGAATCCACGAACCCGGACCAAATTGGGGTGCACCAGTTTAGCAATGGCTCGAACCTGGTTCTCGAAATCCTTGAGACGGGACACACTGTTCTCACCGATCCGTCGAACCGCCAACGAGGACCCGTCTTCAAGCACGGCTTTATACATGATATTAGACCCCGTGGAACCTAATATGTATGCTGACGCTTTGAGTAACGTATCTAAGTCGAGCTTCTTTTCACCATCGACGGTCACCAATTTCCCTTTCTTGTCATGTTCTTGCTCTTCCTGCCGTTGACTACATTCTTCTTCTTCGGTGTCGGATTCTTCTTCGTACTCTCCTCTCTTTCTCAAACACGACCATCTCGAAAACCCTCTTAGTTCCATCCATGGAGACGTTGAAGACCGATTGTCGAGTACCATTTTCTTTTTGGTCTTTATTTTGTAGATGACAAAGAAAACAACGATTACAAGTACAATCCCTGCTATATCTCCCACTATGATTGCCACTATTGTCACTGGTTTGAACTTGTTTTGTTGTGATTTTTTAGATCCGGTGTTCGGTGTTTTCGGGATGGCGGCCATTGCTGGAGGAGAAGTTGGTGAAGGAATTGGACAATCACGCTTTGTCACTTTGCCACATAGAAAAGGATTCCCCGAGAAAGATTCGGGTTTTCTGTTGTTAAAAACAGCGGAATCCGGGATTTCTCCGGTGAGATTATTGAAGGAAAGATCAATAGTGGCGTTACCAGGAATTTTCTCGGCGAATTCCGGTGGAATTTCCCCGGACAGTCTGTTGAAAGAAAAGTTCAGATAGTTGATATGGTTGCCTCCGAAATTTGGAGGCAATGAACCTTCGACAAGATTGGAAGAAAGATCTAAAACTTGAACTGACTGAAACCCACTTGGAAGATTTCCTGAAAAGTAATTGTTCTTCAAAGCAATAACGGTTAGATTCTGGATAGTAGTGAGAGTTGCAGGCAAAGTACCCGACAATCCATTGTCGGAGAGGTTAAGGAATTGAAGATTCTGCAAAGTTCCGATCGTTTCCGGTATTCCACCTGAGATCAAATTGTTGGACAAGTCAAGAAAACGAAGCTTGGTCGAATTGAACAACGAAACAGGAAGAGACCCATTAAGTGAATTGTTTGAAAAATCAAGCTTCTGAAGGTGTTGTAGCCTGCCCAGGTCGGATGGAATGGAACCAAGAAGCTGAGAATTCGGGAGAGACAAGCATGTAACTCGAAGGTAGCCATCAATGGAGTCACAGGCCACTCCGTTCCAAGAACAAGGCGACTGGTCGACCAAGTTCCAGCTTTGTAGAACGTTCAAAGGATCACTGAGAATCAAAAACCTGAATGAAAGCAAGACAACTCCATCTGTGTTTAGCCCCATAGCTTGAACCACAAGAAACTCAAGAGCAACGACAACTCCCCACCATGAATGGAGTTTAAAACCAGGGAAGGAACTCATGGTTTTTCGAACTGATCACACATTTGACATTTCTCGTATGAAAATAGACAAGGAATGAGAGTAGTGAACTAAGAGAAGTAACGGAGAATCATGATTTTTGTCAACGAAGTTGCAGAGAGGCCATGTGATGGAATTTGGCAGTAAAGGAAAACAAAAAGCTAAGAAATATTACACAGCTCTGTTAAAAAAATTCTCATACCGCCAAAAATGTTGTGGATTGGCTGCTATATATATACAATTATTCTTGAATGATTAATGATCTCACAGTTGGTTTTATGAGTAAATAAACAAGTAAAATCAAATACCAGCTACAGAATAGCATCTTTAGTACAAGACATCAATGTGAAGGTAAAAAGAGTTGCAGTGTTCTCTCCTAAACCATCTGGTTCCTTAGTTTTCTTTCAATTACATTAAACAATGTCGCCATAACGTATAAAATCTCGACCGGTCGACGTCATATGCTTCAATAAATTTTCTTGTTTTGTCAAATTTAGATGATTGTGTGCGTTTCCTATCAAACTCGGATTAAACAGGATTTGGGAGGGAAAAATGAACAAAAACTTTGGCGTCATAAATCAGAAGGGCAACATTATTGTGGAGGGGTCCCTCATTAATAATTTAATATCGATATTCACCAGAGCGTCATTAATGCATTTATAAGAAATTTAAGTCACCATTTCCAAAATTTTGACTATCTGGTGAGCCCCTTGCCATCATTACATTTGCATCTCCTACATACTTTAAACATGAAAATTCCCCAACAATGAACTACCAGGGACTTGATTCAATAAACCTGAGAAGAAAGTAGAGGGGGTAAGCTGTAATTAGACCTTGAACCTGAGATGGAGAAAGGAAGTGATAATGGGAAACAATAAGGAAAACGATAAAACCTTGAAAATGACCACCAATATGTTGGCAGGTTATTTATAGTACAAAAATCAAGATGGCTATGAGTCAAATATTTCTACTTTTATAATGTTTTGTAGTATAATAGTAACTAATTCGGAACCGGGACTGATATCAGAATTTGAAAGCCGAACAGAACACGTTCAGCTGTCTACCATTTTCTTTCTCAGCTAGCACGTAACATGGAATAAGGAGCAATAATCAGCTATGATTCCTCTCCAAATTGTCCATGGCTCACTTTTCCTCGACACTCAAGATTCCAGCTACGGGTCCTGGATTTCCCATTGTTTTATTTATTGGCACTAACCCAGATTTGAGTTCGACAACAATGGTGGAAAGCTTTTGCCTTTTGTTCTTCCTCCTCAAATGGCAGAATCGTGAGATCTAAACTTGTAATCTTGTTCACACCTGAAGGGTGACTGTATTATTTCATCACTCTTTTTTTTTTAAAAAAATTTGTTTGTGCAGCTTTTCCCACCTCGTTATAATATAAATTAAATCAGTGGGGAATACATACATATTCAGGTGTTGATAAATACAAGATTCAAAAGATTTTGCCTGCCTGCCTTGTTTATTGTGCTTCATTTTACTTCGCAATTTCCATAAACAAATCAAAATATATTGGATCAAAATGAACTTTTGGAAAGGTGAATCTGGGTCCACCAGAGCCTCAGATCAAAGATTTTGACAGCTTGGTAATTAACATCAGTCACCAGTAAAAAGAGATAGAGAAAGGTACATAATTAAAATTCCCCTGCACCATCACTTTCCTTCTCTTTGCTTATATGTTCTTGGATGAAATTCCCATAATTTTTTTCTGGAAAATAATACTGAACAAGCAATAAAAAAGTGATCTCAAGAGGAGTCAAACACACGTGAAAGGGGAATCAAACTAGGGAGGAATGTCATAAAATTCAACAAAAAGAAGTATTTAAATTAAAATATTCACCACCTTAAAACCATGTAAAATATTAAGAGAGATTAAACTTGGGACACATATGAAGGGGGTCCAATGTTTCATTACTGACGCTATATAATTGTCATTTCTAACAAAACTTTTTCCAGGCAGCTTGTAAACGAGATTTTCAGCCTTTCTTTCTGATAAAAATTAGGGTCTAATAAAGATTAAATCTTTCAAAATTGTCTAATAAGATCTATCATAAGATTCGTAGTACACCAAATGAGAGAGTGGCTTTTACTTTTTAAAATTCCTAAGTTTATGAAGAGCCTTAAGCCAATTTAAAATTGTTAAAGACCATTTGATGTTTTGGCTTTCAAGTTTGAACATTCCGAAATGTATTAAATGTGTAAATGGGGGGTGTGAAAATAAAAAACATTTTGCGGCTTCCATAGTCGACAGGACAAACTCTTGATCTAATACTAATAAATATATGCTTTTTTGAATTGAAAAGAAGCTTAACGAACTAAGCTATTGTTATGTCAAAAAAACAAAATAAAAAAACTAAGCTACTGAAAGGAGGGACGATGAAGAATTTGTATAATATCAGGAACTTAAATGTTTTCGACATGTCAATTCATATGTAATTGAATTCTTTTTGATTTTTTTTTAATTTCAAATCAAGTGTAAAAGCATTTTACAATTTTAAATTACAGAAGAATACATGTGAATTCTAACCCATCACAGTGTCCACTAGTGTTATTTATCGTAATTGTTGCTATCAAAATTAACATAATACTACTAAGAAGGATTAAATGAAGGATTCAATTTAGTTTAGGGACTTGTAACGAAATTTAAGCAATTATTAGCAAAGCTTATACCTTCTCACTTATTCGTCAAAGATTTCCTTGGTCTTGCCTATCAATCGCTATCTCCACAAACGACCGTTTAAAAGAATTTGATATTTGTTTTTATTGTAAAATATTATTTCAATTATATCTCATAAATATAATTGTTCGAACCCAAAATCTTTTGAGAGAATAATATTTATATTTATGGTTGAAGTAAATATAAAAAAATACAATTATCCGTATCCGACTGAGTGTAAATGGTTGGGTTATGTGGTTTCACTTTGTTTCCTTTACCAATGAAAGAGCATCAAAGAATAACAAACAATGTGCACTTTCTGTCCTGTCTTTCCACCTCTCATTTTCTATCCTTTTCCAAGCTATCTGTTCAATATCTGAAAAGGACGAAATGTGAATGTAAAACTAGTTAGCTTGGCGTCTCTTTACGATCACCAAAAAATACTAATAAATAAATGTTGAATTATTTCAGTCAAATACAACTTCCATGGATGGAACAACTTCAAAAAGCCTTTAACCGTCCTTTACAAGGCCCTTGTTAATAAAAAGGTGACGGTACCTCATTCAATGGAGATGCTCAGCTTAACCATTCTTTTTTGCCCCCACACTTTATTGACAGAATATTTTCAAAGTCCTTTAAATGAACTTATATTATACAAAGGGAGCTTGCGACTATCGACCTTATGCCCCGTAGTCTCCCAGGAACACCCATCCACGTTCTCAATGAGACACTTCTGTGTCGTTCTCGTTGTTTTGGCCATGCTCGCTCTTTCGGAATCAGCTTCTGTCGACTGTTGTAGGCCTCTTCAGTCGACGGAAACGGTTGGGGATGCAACCGGAGATGCTGTTCATGGTGTTAAAGTTGTTCGGGTCTTGGTTGAGGATGGGAGGGGTCGGGTTTTAGAAGAGAAGCAAGTGCCAACTATGGCTGCTGCTGCTGGGCCTAGTAGAAAAGGTCCTGGTCATTAGTGATTTATCCTACAAGATTTGGTATACATGTAAGTTCTGTATTTATGTGTACAGTTTTAGAAGATTTATTGATTCTGTCCGGTAAATGCCATAGCAAATGTCTCAAAGAATTTGTAGGGTTTTCTAGGGATGTATTTTTCACTTTAAAAAAGAGGTTAATTATTTTTCTTATTTATAGAGTAACATATAAGTTACAAACACCATTTTCATGTGTTTTCGGGTTTGTTGTCTCCTTTTCATGTTCCTTTCCAAATTTCAAGCCTTTGCTTCCAAGACAAGCAAGACAATCCAGAGTTGTATTGGTGTTCCCTTAGTGTTCCTTTTTCCATGAACTCATACACCAGGATCATCTCAAGACATGTTCATCACAATATCCGATCAACGAAACAAGATGGAGATGACGAATTCGGGATAAAACCATGATCTCTGCTGAATTCCGGGAAGCCTTGACCTGACCCTGGTTTGCTTCGTTTAACAGCCGCTTTGATGCCAGTTCTAAGAGTTCCTCGGTAGACATCACCGAATCCACCCTTATCAATCAGCAACTTCGTATCAAAGTTGCTTGTGGCTAACTGAATCTCGAAAAGTAGTATCTTCAAACCCAGACTCAAATCAGGGACATGTGAGGCATTGGTGGTGCCCTCTCAGCTTCGTGTTGACTGCTGAGGCTTCGTCCTATTACTGTGAGAGCTTCCTTTATAGGCAGTTAATGGCGGTCATTCCGGAGTTTCAATGGGTTTCAACTTCCTGATTCTCAATCTAAAAAACAGCAGATCTCCAAAGATGCAGACAATAACTGGACCGACAATAACAAATAACTATTCTGTTTGGTAAAGGAGATATGCCCAGAATTCATGTCACCAACATAAGTCCAAGAAGTGATGTTTGATTCCCAGTTGATTAAGTACTTGTCTGAAAGAGTGTATGCTGAAGACTGAAGAGGGTAGTTGATATGATGAGAAGAAGAATCAAAGGTTGATGGAGTTTACCTTCCATTGATCTGCTGTATTTTTGCATAAAATTTTCTTTCACTCAGAATAACGACACCATGTGAACCAAAAATGATTATTTGAAAGCTCGAACGCAAGTCAACGTATGGAATCTATACACTTACGAACCAAAACAGGGTCTGAGTAATTTCTAAACAACTTAGCATTGGAATGTCAATTTAAGCTTATGAACTTAAATAAGCAAAACGACAACATTTTGCAGCTATGTTCTATGGTTAATGCCACAGGATGCTTTCTAAGAACTTTGTAAGGTAGATTACGCTAATGTCTTCACCGAATGAATACACTACAAAGATATAAAAAAATTAGACGATAAAAGTTACATTCAACGTCAATACAGTGATAGATAGAGTTGTCACTAAGAAAAATTACTAGCTGAATGAGACTATTTGCCGGCTTCAATCCTCAGCTGGGAGAATACAACACTTTCTGTTGTGTTTGAACTGTTGGGGAAACCGAGTTATTTCCCACACGAACGTAGTTTTA